GCACAGACGCCGCATGGATGAGACTTTGCGCACAAGTCGGAAGCAACTAATGAGAGGAGGTCTGTAACACTTTCAGGAAAGGAACAAGCTGTGCCTTCAACTCACCTCCACCTCCTTCTCGTTAGCCGAGATGCTGTAGAGAAGATCAGGGATTCAGATGAAACACAATCCAACAGTAGAACGAAACATATTAGCATGCTACTTGAAGAAAAACTTACTTGTCACTCTGTCTAAAGTTGACCGATTTCACAGTAGCTGCAGGAAGAGGGGAAGCAGGGGTGTCTATTCAAGGACAATAAAATAGTATTTGGTTAAAAAGTCTTACTATCTAAAGGTATGTTAGATCAAATCATTTCTGTCCTATCTCTGCTAAGGAAAAGCATTTTACTGAATTATGCCCAAGACCATAGCCAGCTACCAGTGTTTGCTTGTGTCATTGAACAAAACACGATGCCGTGCCATTGGGGTCTCCCACTTAGACAGCAGCATGAGAATACTCTTTGAAAGCTGAGGGCAGCTCAGAATCAAAGAAGAACCGGATTTGTTCTCTTTACACTTCAATGTTTGTTGGACTTGATCCGAGCAAAATACTAAGTGCCCATCTTCCTCTGGTACCATGGTCCTTCCTTGTCAGGCTCCGGCTTTGATGACAGAAACAGTAGTTGTAGTAACCACATCGGTAGCAATTGTAAGCATGACATCACCATTAATTACAGGGTTAACATATGTCAGTCTCAGAACAAGGTTCTTTACACATTTTAATAACCTCACCATAACTTTACAAAGAGGAGAACATATTAAATATTAAGATCACAGGATTTAGAGTTGAAAACCTTTAGTTTAAATCTGAGATTTGATATGGCTGTGTGACCTTTGTGAGTCCCAATTTTATCAAATCATCTACAGAATAAGCATGATATTAACTTATTTTCATGTAGTTGCCAATTTTTATGAGCATTTAATTTGTTAAATCTTCATTGCACACTTTATGTGGTGATAGATATTGTTATTATGTACAGTTCACAAACTAGAATGCTGAATCACAGTTGATCTGCCTTACACAGTATTTGGAAGAACTGAATCAAATTATGCAGGTGAAGAATTCAGCCCAGTACTTCATCCACTCACCCACCCACTGCTCATAGGGACCCTATGGGACAGAGGAGAACTGCTTCACAGGATTTCCAAGACTGTAAGTCTTTTTAGGAGCGGACAGTATGCTCTTTCTTCCTAGGAGTGGCTGGTAGCTTTGAACCACTGACCTTGTGGTTAACAGTCCAATGCTTCCGCCACTGCACCACCACCTAGTACCCAGCACACAGTATCTTCTTAATAAAATGTGCCTCTTTTTTCAAACCCACTATTTCCATTCTGCAGATGAGGAAGCAAGGGCTCAATGTTAAATCACTCCCAAAGCTCATGTAGCCAATTAGAGATCAATTCAGCCTGGAGTCTTTGCGACTCCAAAGCCTAAAACAATACCTTTTGGCCACCCTAATGGAGGAGGGCTGAGGAGGAAAACAGATGAGCAATGATTCTTTATATGTCCGTTTATTTACTGTCATGGGTGTGGGAATCAGAGAATGGGAAGAGGGTGTATAAGATGAATCCTCTATTCTCATATATTAAGAAGCCAGGCAGGCTGGGTTTGTGGGGTGGAGGGAGGCCCTCATCCTTGCGAATTGGAGGTGACTCCGAATTACATCCTCATCATTAATATTGTTCCCCAGTCTATCCTCCCATCATAGTGCTGCCTTAAAGTTACCTCTTAAGCACAGGGCTGATTGCTATGTCGCTGGCAGCTTTAACTGTAGAAACAGACATGTGCTATTTCTCTCTAGGTTCTGAAAACAGCCATTCCCCTTACCTGCCCCAGGGCACTGGTGTTAGGTTACACCTCCAGTGTACTCAGGGACCTTTAGGGTTAAGGTACAGCCCACTTTGTTATGTATGTGGTTACCTGTAATTAGGGGGGCTTGCATGCCCATAGAGTGTATGTAAACCTTGGTTGCAAATATGTTCTCTCTACCTGGACCTGGCTCCTGAAGGCTCGGCCCCAAAGGTGAGCCCTTGCATGCCTTACCTTGTCTGATGTCTCTTTAATTAACCCCTCACTTACACAACTGCTCCTTTCGATTGCGGGGACTGGTGCCCCACACAAGGAGTAAGGAGAACTCTGAGGGGAGCTTAGAATTTGCCAGCAATGTGGGCTTACTCGAAATAGAGCCTGAGGCATCGCAAGTCCTTGGAGGGTGCCGTGAGGCCAGTTGTCAAGGCAGTGGACAGAGAAGACTTGGATCAGCAGCGGAATTCAAGATTCCTCTGGAGTTTCACCGCCAGGGCAACACGAAAGCAGATTTTTGAAAGTTATATAAAAGGAACCAAGAGTCAGGCCTATTGGCTGACCTAATCCAGAATCCTTAGGTTTCACCCATAAAAATAACCCCGACGAACAAAAGTCCACTTGAGGGTTCGAAGAGAACAGTCCTTACCTCCTGCCGCACATGCTTTTGTGTGGGACGCCATTGCTTCTGGTTCCTCTTGGGCTTCCTAAAATCATAAAGAGATTTGATTGCTGCACATAGAACAGAAATTCCTCACAACCAATAATTCCTCTACTTCCCGTCCTCTCCTAGGCCCATGCTGACCAAAATATTACATCCTCTACAGGGCTTAGGGGTTAGACCCACTTCAAGGGATATCCTAATTTTGATGGGGCAAGAAAAAATATTAATATGTGAAAACTGGCAAATACAATTCACATTACTACAAAATAATAAGGATCTACTATCAAGTTTATGAACTACAGATAAATCAGCCCTCTCAATATGGAAGAAAGAAACGCCACATCTCGAGTAGCATGGAACGATTCTACAGATTAGAAACTTGGAATTTGAGCTTGATAGTGGGGTAGGATTAGATACGGACAAAGAGGCAATGAGAGGGTGGATCTAGTGATGTGGCTTTCTATATGGATTGTTAAAAAAATGGTGCAAAAATAGCTAAAATAATACATATTTTTAAAAATCATTTTATTGGGAGCTCGTACAATTCTTATCACAATCCATCCATCCGTCCATTGTGTCAAGCACATTTGTACTTTGTTGCCATCCTCATTCTCAAAACATTTGCTTTCTACTTGAGCCCTTAATATCAGCTCCTCATTTTTCCCCTCTTTCACCCCTCCCCCTCCCTCACGAACCCTTCATAATCATAAATGATTATTATTTTGTCATATCTTACACTGTCCGATGTCTCCCTTCACCCACTTTTATGTTGTCCATCCCCAAGGGAGGAGGTTATATGTAGAGTCTTGTAATCGGTTCCCAGCTTTCTATCCCACCTTCCCTCCACCCTCCAGGTATCGCCAATCTCACCACTGGTCCTGAATTCCCTGTGTTTCCAGTTGCTGTCTGTACCAATGTACATCCTCTGGTCTAGCCAGATTTGTAAGGTAGAACTGGGATCATGATAGTGAGGGGAGGAAGCATTTAGGAACTAGAGGAAAGTTGTATGTTTCATCGTTGCTACCCTGCACCCTGACTGGTTCTTCTCCTCCCTGAGACTGTTCAGTAAGGGGGTGTCCAGTTTCCTACAGATGAGCTTTGAGTCTCCACTCTGCACTCACCCTCATTTACAATGTAAAATACTATTTTACTCCTTATGAATACATTTAAAAAAATCATTTTATTGGGGGCTCATACAACTCTTATCACAATCCATATATCCATCCATTGTATAAAGCACATTTGTACATTTGTTGCCCTCTTCATTCTCAAAACATTTGCTCTCCACTTGGACTCTTGGAATCAGCTCCTCATTTTATGGTCCCTGTTGGAGATCTTGAGTAGAACAAACGGTTCATGCACTTGCTTGCTAATTGAAAGATTGCAGGTGCCAGGACGCCCCACCTCGGAAGAAAGGCCAGTGATCTACTTCTGGGAAACTGGGCATTGCACACTCTGTGAGTGCAGCACGGTTCTGCTCTGACACGCTCGGGGTCACCACGAATCCGAATCACCATCAGAGTCCCTGTTTTCTTGCTGTAGTTGGTTGAAGTGTTTCCCATAACCCACCAAAACATATGTCCACTTGGTACCTATGAATGTGATCTTAATGAGGATCTTTTGCACATGTAAGGGGTTAAGGTCAGGCCATACTAGATTCCGGTGGGCCCTGCATCCAAAGACGGGTTCTGAGAAGGAGAGGGAGGAACGTCCTATGAAAAGAGGCCGAGATTGGAGGAAGGGATCTGCAAACTAAGGCATACCAGTAGTTGCTGACAACCACGAGAAACTAAGCAAACAGCATGGGACATATGCTCACTCAGAGCCTCCAGAGGGAACATGGCCTGCTGATGCCTCTGTTTCAGACTTCTAGCTTCCAGAACTGTGAGAGAATAAATCTGTGCTGTTTTAAGCCACCCACTTCGTGGTAATATATTATGGGAACCGTAGGAAGCCAATAAAGTCACCAACCAAGTGCTGAGTGCATCTGCTTACTGCAAATCTCCTCTCCTTTCATCCTGTGTGCTAGCCCACGTGACCATATGTCTGCAGTTAAGCGTGGCGCTCTAAATCACACGGGAATCATGCCTTTACCAGAAAACCAGAGTGATGATCTATAATTGCCCCTCTTGCCCCAAAGGTATCCATGCCATAACTGCCCCTCAACCTTGTGTTTGCTTGAGGGAATCTCTGCTTCTGGCAACCAAAATGCATGCTTTTCTCTAACTAAACAAGGAGAAAACAACATTAACACACATACACCCACACAAAATCCAACACAGACAACAACAAAGAAGGGATGACTAAGACCTGCAATGAGCCAGAGTAGAAGTGGACCCACAATGATCAAGTTACTCTCCAGTAACTAATTTATAACATGGATGATGACTCATCTCTTAAAAGTCTTTTTCTAGAAACAAACAGTTATCTTTACAGTGCTACACAATGTCTAATATTCAGTAAGGTTGAAGTGGATCATACCAACCCCTAATTTACTTAAATATTTGTTGATCACCTTTTAGGTGACAGGGATGGAGCTAGTGGCCACATTCTGGCAGTAAACAAGAAAGAACCGACTGTACCTTCATGGATTTGATAATCTACTCGGCAAGCAAACAAACCAGAAACCGTGTGGCCGGAGACCTTTGGGAAGCCAACCCTCCCAAGCCTCGTCTTCTTCCCCGCAGCAGCTGGTGAGTTGCAACCTTGGGCCTTCTGGGCAGCAGTTGAGGGATTAATCACTGTACCCCGGGGTTCTTTATTTTTTACTTACTAACAAAAAAGGGGGAAATTATTCTTCTGGAGCCTATCAAAGAGAAAGGAAGCCCCCCCTTTGATGAAAAATTTGCATTAAACTATAACTATAATCAGGCTAAGCAATATTATGAAAAAAAGTGTGTCTGAGTATAAATAGACCCATGGAAATGACCAGATCTGATGGTGTTATTCTTGCTAAAATCTCCCACTGGGGTAAAAGGAGAGCCTGTCGGGGGAAACCCACACAGTTTGCCATGGTCCTCTAAATTCTTCATAATCTATTTCCTGGCCAGTATTTCCACTAAGTCTCTATACAACAACAGCAGCAGCAGCCAGCACTTTCATGATTACTCCAAGCACTTTACACGTATTAATGTAGTTAATCTTCTCACTCACCCACAGTCACATCTCTAATTTTAAAACGAGGAGACTTAGGAATAGATAAAAGAGGCAGTTTGTAAGTAATGGAATTAAGATATAAACCATAGAATCTGGCTCCAGAATATATTACACTCTTTCAATGACAGGTCTCAATTTACATGCTTCCCTCGCTCATGCTGGTCCCCTGACACTAGTAGCCACCACACTGGCTGCTCCCTCGCTGGAGTACTGGTGGTTTAGCTGTCTCATGGATGAAGGGAGCTCCCATGGCGCAGTGGTTATGTATGGGGCTGCCATCCACGTGGTCAGCAGCTGGTTAGAAACTGTCAGCAGCTCCGAGGGGAAAAGACTGGGCGTTCTTCTCCCATAAACAGCGACAGTCTCAGAAACCCACAGGGGTCACTGTGAATCAGCAGTGACTCGATGGCAGTGCGTTTGGTTTCGGTTTGGGTATGTCTGAAGAGATCTGGTACACTCCATTCACTTAAGACCTTTCTCCATGGTGCCTTCCACGGTCTCCTGCCCTGAGCATTTTTCTTTTATATCATTAAGTACTCTCAAATTATTAAACTATTACCTGTTTCATCATTTGGTTGAATAATTTCTGTAAGCTAGCTATCCATTTCATTCAACTTTATTATTAATGCATTCATTTTTTTAAAAAGCAGTCACCTATTGTTAGGTAGTTAGCCTATTTACGTTAATGTCTGATGACTACATGGGAATTGAATGATTGATTGAAGGAAGGAAGGAGCGATCAATCAATGTGGAGTCAGTAGAGTGGCTCTCACTCTATCATGTGACTTTAGGCAAGTCACGGAGATGATCTGGCCAAAATGTCTTCATCCACAAAATACTGACCTCATAATATCTTCAAAGGCTAAAGTGAGATCATGCTTTTAAGAGTATATTGCACAAGGCAAGTGGCTCAAACCCACCAGCCACTTCACAGGAGAAAGAGAGGCTATCTGCTCCCAGAACGATTTACAGCTTTGGAAACTATGTAGGGTCACTATGAGTTGGGATCAACTCAATGGTAGTGGGCTTTGTAAGCAATGAGACTGTTCAACCATCTTAATACATCCTCTTTCTTATTATTAATATGTGTGTTTCTTCTTACCAGATTCAATACGGCTTTGTCTTCACTTGCAGAGCCGTGGGTGGGAGTGTTGTCAGGAGCTGCACTGGTGCCTATGATAAAAAGAAACATAGGAACAGGGGAACAGCACCAAGGAAAAGAGGAAGAAACAATAACAAGGATGCAAAACTGGGAGGACAGTGAGGGCAAAGGCCTCCCGTGGGACACAAATCATGTACCACGAAGCTTCAAACGTGTTCATTGTCTCAAAACCAGGAAGCCGGTGGCTTAGGTTCACAAGGAAACTAGGTCATAAAATGTCTCTAAATAGCCTTCAAACAGTAGTTTTGTGGGTTTTTGAAAGCTGGTTTTGCTAATGGAAAGGAGGTGAAGGAAGTTTGGACAATTAGTAACAGTTTGGGTAGAGCTTGAGAAACAGGTCTGTTTTTTAAATTACGATGCAAGACTGATACAAAATATGAGATGCTTCTACTACCAGGACATCATCTTTTTCAATAAGATGTCATTCAGAAGAAAAGATTCTCTTGCTAATTATGACATGTCTTTGTTCTGTTCTTATTTTTGTCGACTTTATTTATACTAACAAGCCCTTTTGGGGCCCTGTGTTGGGCTGCCAGCCACAAGGTCAGTAGTTAGACACCCCCGCTGCTCTGTGGGAGAAAGCTGGCACTCTCTGCGTCCATACAGATTGGCAACCTGGAAACCCACAGGGTGGGTCTCCTCAGCCCCACAGGGTGGGTCTCCTCAGCCCCACAGGGTGGCTGTGAGTCAGAAGCAACTCAGTGGCAGTGCGCTTTCACCTTTGATTTATTTGTACTCTGGTATACTCAATTATGATTTCCTTCTTCATATAACCCATTGTCCGGAATTCATTCCAGTGGAGGCACAAAGGTCAGCATTTATAATGTTTCTTTTTTATTAAGTGAAAAATATTGAAATTATGTGTCATTTATAAATTTATACAGAAATAGGAACAAAGTGGCAGCTATTTTCCCCCCACAGGAATTTTATAATTTTTATTTGTTTTTATTAAATTTTAAGATAGACAAATAGATTTATATGGTCCATAAATAAAAAAGTATAAAGTGTTATACATTAAAAATTATACCACCCAGTTTTTACCTGCTGTTAAGAATAACTTATGAACACATAACTTTTTCCTGTTATTCACAGATTTTTATATGCTATACAAAATATTCTTTTGCCTTTTCCTCCAGGAAATATTTCTTTAATAACATTCTAAGTTATAATCTTTACATGTTTTCTGCTTGCATAGTATACTACTGTAAGGATATACCAAATCTATTAATCACTCTCTGATAGGTAATTTGTAAAAATATTTTACAATATCAAGCAATGCTATGATTAATACATATGATTAATGCCCTTCTCTCTGTGTGTACATATTATTTGTAGAACTGATTCCCAGAAAGCAAATTGTTGTATCACCGGGTATGGGCAAATAAAAGCTTGGTACAATTGGTACAATTCATCCCATTTGGTTGCAATAGTTCCTGGTGACCCAGTGGACTAAATGCTGGGCTGCCAATTGCAAGGTCAGTAGTTCAATCCCATCCATCATGCCACAGGAGAAAGATGAGGCTGATCCTGTAAAGAGGGACAGTCTTGGAAACGCTTTGGAGCAATTCTGCCCAGAGCTAGAATGGTTTTAAAATCTCTAATTTGGATTCAGTGGAGCAAAAAATATTCTACCATGAAGCCTGCTTCTCTAGTTTAGCACTTATAGCTCACACTTAAATGTCCTGTATAAACAATAGAGGGGCATGTTCTTTCACTCATCTCTTTTTGGGTGGGCTCGACGCTTGTCCCACGGGGTTAACTATAAAGGTGTTTCATCAGGAACAGGTAGGAAAACTACCAAGTTTTCAGAGTCAAGCAGTAGAAAAGGATTTACAAATCATCGAGTTCATTCTTTTGCCCTAAATGGACCATCCCAAATTGGTCCATTCCTCTAATTTGATAGATTATAATTCACTTTTTGAGATTTTAAGAAGCAGGTAACTGCACAGCTGTAGCATATTACAGTTCTACAGTTATGCCATAAAGCCTTTGTGGGGGTGACCCAGGACAAGGCAGTGTTTCATTCAGATGTACATAGGGCCACTGTGAGTCAGAAGTACCTAAGTGCCACCTAAGGACCCCACCGCAGCAACGCACCACAGCAACACACCACATTTGAGACCCACAGCCCCAAACCCAACCCATTGAGGCCCAGTCAATTTCCACTCATTGTAACCCTATGGGCAAGAGTACAACTACCCACTCACTGGCTTTCCAAAGCTGTACATCTTTATGGAATCAGAATATCACATCTTTCTCCTGAGGAGTAGCTGCTAGGTGGTTGGTCATTGTACGACGGAGTTTTCGGTTAGCAGCCCAGCTCTTTTACCACCAAGCCTCCAAGGACTGTTTCATTGGCGAGCCAGTTGGGTCAAATCAGTAAGATACATTGTACCATGTGCTCTAACCCAAACTCACTGCTGCTCAGTCCATTTGACTCCTAACAACCCCACAGGGCAAAGTAGAACTGCCCCCTGGGCTTCCAAGCCGGGACATCTTTACAGACACGATGGCATCCCCTTTCTCCCACGGAGCAGCTGGTGGGGTCAAACCAACAACCTTTGGGTGGCAGCCCGATGCTTAACCCATTGTGCCACCCAAACCTGGTAACATCCTCATGATGATGATCATGGTCCCCAATTGGATACCTCTTCTCTGGATTATAAAAGGATTTTATGAGAGATGATCTTTGAAGTACTGCAGTTACTCCACCGGCTTATAGGTTTCCTTTACGTCCCAGACTATTGTGGACTTGAATCCCCTAGAAGCTTACCTGGAGTCTCCATTGCTGCAGAAGCCGGCCTGGCATCTTGCTCTTTCTCACAGACTGATCTGCTGCTAAGGTCACCTGAAGCCATATTCAAAGTCTCTGAGGGAGAGACTGAGAGTGAGAGTGCTATGCAAAAGGAACATTTGCCTATTTTATTTTTATTTGCATGCAGCTCGACAGTCACAGAATCCTGGGCGTATCCTCACAATCCCAACATTCTATTTCTATCAGCGGCCTGGTAGTGAAATGGCTAAAGTGCTTGCCTGCTACTCACACGGTCAATGGTTTGAACCCATCAGCATAGGAAAATTTTTTTTAAATATGTGACACTCTACTTCCACAAAATATTTCCTCCTCGGAAACCTCTGTGGGATAGTTCTATTCTGTCCTATAGCATCACTGTGAGCCTGAATCCACAGTCTGTCAGCCGCAGTTTGGGTTTGGTTTGTTTGTTTCTTGATTTTTACTTAGTTTTAGATCTTTTCCAAGTCTACTCACCACTCGAAGTTACAGTACTTTCTGTGGATGAAGTGTGTCCGGGCAGTGATAGTGTGGGGTGTGCCCTGCCAAAAGAGTGGAAGAAATATTTTGGAAGTTCAGGTTCAAAGGAGACTCTTAAAAAGTAAATGAATATGAATACAAATGGGAGCAAACCTGAGCTGTGGCCGGGTCTCAAAATGCAAGCGCCCAACAGCATCCTCCTTCAGGGAAAGAGGAAAAAGTTCAACAGCTTGACATTTTATACTCCCAAAGAGGTCACTTTAAGCAAACATTTTCATACAATTTTAAATGAACCCATATTTGCTTTGTTCTTTCCGGGAGGCTATGGGGATGGGATAGTATAGGGCATATTGATGTACACACATCCTCAAAGCTCTATTTACCAAAAACAAAATCCAATTTTAAGTGTACTTATAAGCTTGATATTTAAAGATAACTTGAAGGAAATTTGGGTAAAATAAATTTTTAAACTTTACCAAAGGGCAGTAAGAGCTTCTTTCAGGAACTTAAGTCAAGATTTCTTTAATCAGAACGTTCTATATGAACATAGGACAGCATTACTCTTCTCATTGAAATATTATTCAACCTAGTGTCTAACCTGGCAATGTAAGTAGGGTTTTCCCTTCTCCAGCAACATGCAATTTAAACTTAACCCATATCTCAAAGCGGGTAAACCTAAGTCAGCTTCTACAACTTGTGGCTTAAAAGGAGCTTAACAAACCCGTGGTACCAGCTTGCCAGGGCAAGTACCCGATAGTCTTCTTTGGACCTTTTAGCCTCCACCAGACAGTCCTGCCCTGGGAGGAGCTTGCATCCACTTGGTGGCCGTGGGTTTGGGTATTTTGGGCTGGTTGGTAGGCTGGTTTTATGGTTGATTAATTCACTCCTGTCTCAAAACATTCAGGCTTCCAAAAATAAAATTTTCTCTTTGTTTATCTTCACTATCATTTTTATTTATTTGGAATAACCAAACAAGTCAAAATTTAATCAATTAAAATGAAAATCACGCTGATAGGCCTAAACCCAGGACAGACAATGTAACGAGAAAGACTATCAATAGTCCACAATCAAACGTAGAACTCCTTACTAATGGTCACAACCAACAACGAGTTTCTATGGAGGGCTGCAGTATGTCCTACAAAGCACATTAAATCCATTCAAGAGCATATTTACTATTCATCACAGAAAGTGAAGGTGTGTCAAAGGTTTGCTGAGTTTTTAGTTGTACATAGTACAGTAATTGCAACTTACATTAAATAGCACATTGAAATCTTCAAAAGCCTCTCTCCGTGTGTAATACACCGTATATAACATATATTCCAAACTGAGTTATAGCAACCCAATAAGGCAGGGTGGAACCACCCCTGTAGGTTTCTGAGACTGTAACTCTTTACCGGAGTAGAAAGCCTCGTCTTTCTCCCAAGGAATGGCTGGTACATTTGAACTGCTGGTTGCAATTAGCAGTCCAATATGTAACCCCACTGTGACATCAGGGCTTCCTTAATCACACTTATGGAACAAGAATGTGCGCCTCTATCTTAACTATATGTCAATCTTAGTTCTTATTTAATTTCAACCCTGCTTTAAGTTTCTAAAAGAGTTAGCAAAGTGGATGATATCTGAATTAAACTTTCAATAGAAATTTTACCTTATACTTGGATAATGAAGAAGAGGAAGTCAGGGCCATTTTATAAATCTTTATATAGAGACTGTACTAGTCATTTTTATGTGCTTATTTAACGGTCTTCCAATATTTATGTAAGTAACGAAGCTATAAAAATAAAACAAATGAGCTATCTCTCAGTTCCATTCCTAGTTCATAGAAATCAACAAGAATCGATACCTTAATTAAAAATTTGGTCCAGTTAACATTCCATAAATATAAACTCTTTACTATATATAGGTTGAAATAATTTCTTTTATTGTACTTAACTAAACGTTTACTTTGCCAGAATAGATGTCATTTTGCACTTATCTAGACCCATAGATGCCTGTATTTTAAAAAGCTTGAAAAATGCAGTTTTAATTTCCTGTTCCTTTAAATCAGTTTCCAATAAGGAATGGTGCAAAAGAATAATTTCTGCAATCTTTGTTTAAAATGGACAAATTGTTACTTGAATTCAAAATAATAGGCAGCAAAAATTGCTTTGCTTTGGCTTTGCTATGAATAATTTGCAATAATTCTTTTGGTGTAGTGCTTCTTTCATCTCATATCATGTATGTGAAACACTTTTGTGAAAAGCCTTTTGATAAATGTAATATTAATTAAACAAGTAATAATTCTGTGGTGTTAGAGAAATCTCATCTATCTGGAAGCCAGGCATTGCTACATTGTTCCTGAGCAGTTGCAAAGAAAGCAATTGGACATTACTCCCAATTCATTAATCTTTGTAAATCTGTAATAAAAAAAACAACCCCAAGTCAGGCCGTCCCAGGTTACAAACAAGACCTGCTCCTCTCTGTGTCTTTAAGTTGGATTGGCAGGTCTTTGGAACAGGTACGCTGGTTCTCCTGCTTGTCTGCCAGTGTTCTGTGTACCTGCGCTCCCTTTGAAACAGGCGACACCAACCCCCATTCACGGCGAAGTCTTCTGCACAGTCACTTCCACTTGCTGCACACGCAGCTTTTACGCCACTGAAAAAACGTTTAGCCTTTCTTTTTGCACTAAAGCTTGTTGGTTTCAAAATGAGGGCAAATATGCATAACATTTGAGGACACATAAGAGGCATTCATAAACCGGAGGTTCCTAACACAGAGACTTGTAACAGCCAAATTCACTTCTAGATTCTTATTAATTGGATTACATAGTATTCTTCCTACTTGTAATAATAACTGGAATAGAGAAGGAAAAACATTTTCTTTTCACATTCGTTTCAAATATAGGAGTACAGTTCATGAAAGGTACAGCTAAAGTCCCTCCAACATCTGTGATAAAGGGAGGCTGGAAGAATAAGTTAGGAAAAGCTTGTTCTACAATTGGATATCTTTTTCCCCAGCCTCAAACGTCACTCCTACTCAAACCAGCATCCCAGACCCTGCATGCGTCAACCATACGTCCTAGGCGGATCATGAAAAATATAACCTACTCAGTATCTTTTAACAGCAAGGAAACAAATCAAGAAATTGCTTAAAGAGCAAAGAAATCCCAAAGTGTAGACAAGAGATTGACTTACACATAGGTCAATGAGTCTAATCCCTGCTGAGAGCGCAGCAGGGAGAAGGCTCTTCCTGTCCAAGCCATTCAAATATGAACCTGCACCACATTTCCATGAACAGCCACTGGTCAGCCCATTTTCTTTTGACAGTAAGCGCCTAATGGAGGGTGGAGCAGCCAAGGAACTCACGGGACAAAGGGTGAGAGATTCTCCCATGGGCTGGGCCAGCAAACGCAAGCCACAGACACAGAATAGTATTATTCCAATA